ACTTAGTTGTTGTCAATTATCCCATTTATCATCATCTCAGCTTACTTTGCGATTGTAATACTGTCTACATGAACCGATAATTTACAGCTGATTCATGAACACACGATTGTTAAAATTTTCATTTCCCTTTCCAATATACATTGTCAGAACATACTTAATTGGTTATGATATAAAATTAAATAATTAACACTTTCGATTTATTAAAGATTATCTAACAATATACGATCATTTACTAAATACTTCTTGCCCTAAGAGAGTTTAAGACAGAGAAAATTCAAAATACATACAAGTGCAACTTAGGATTAATTGTTCCGATATATCTATTTTAATTTTGTGCACAATTGTTTTCAAAATTACATTAAAATCAATTTTCCTTAAACAAAAACCCAGCAATAGATAAATATCAATCGAATAAACTTACCTTTTCTCTTGTCAATCAGACAATCTTGTTGACATTAAGTGTTTCTTAGTCGCCATATTTTTTTTCCATGAAAACAAACGTTGTTATGATCAGGATCAACGGAAGTTGATTTTCGGAACTCTCGAGAATTTAGAGTTCCGAATGTAAAACTGAAACACAAAACACGGTGCGTCCGTGAAAGCAACTTTTTTGGACACTTTTTTGGACAAATCGTCGTGTCCAAGTTTTGTTGGGTACTAACCTGCAAATACCCAATTAGGGTGTTTTAAGCATATTCAGCGACACTTCTTATTGGGTATACCCAATAAGCAAAAAGTACCCAATAAGAACAATCTTGGCATAAAAAATACCCAATAAATGCACTCTCGTAAACACGGACGGACGGACGGACGGACGGACATGAGTAACAACAATATACCCGAACTTTCTTTCGAAAGTGCGGGTATAATTAAGAAATGTACTTGTACCTATATTTACATATTGATTAATAGTGTATGTAGATTTTATTGTATAAAGTCATTCCTAGGTTCTATTAGGTGTTGGTTGTTGACGGGGAAAGGGGGGGGGGGGGGGCAGAATGATTAGAATGAAGAAAAAAAGAGTTTATCTGTTTCAATTATTTCTTATCAAAACAAAATACTCGTTTTTTGCAAAATAGATTTATATGTTTGTCAGTGCTAACTTTCCTTTATATAGTGCAGAAAGGTCAATATTTATGACAGAAGAGTACAAAAATAAAATAAAACGTCATATTTCTTGTTTATTTTATCATAAAGGTATACTTTTTTCTTTGTTAAAATAAAAAGAGGGGTCATTTCTTTCATAAAATATTAATTACAACATTTTCACACAAAAACTTTTTAAGATATTACCTGTTATGCATGTCGGAATTGTAAAAAATACGACAAGAAAAACGGGGTGATACTTACATTGTGCTCCTTTATAATTTTTCATGCGAGATGAATTACAATGAATTTGCCTTCATTTTAAAGATACAAGTCATAAATTAAATACATGTTGATTTCGAATGTGATTTGACATTTTTGGTTCTTTTTAGCGCATATTTGGAGTAGAACAATAATGTCTGAAAATAATCTATTTTTTAGCATTTCACACTGTTTTTGCACGTGCTCCTGTGTAAAAATAAGCATATAAAGGTATTGTTTTTAATACCTAAAAATTATAAGCAAGTGGTCAGGAAAGAGATGTCAAAGTTTTGAAAATTTCACACAAAGACTTTTCGGACATAGGTCCCCCCTTAAATTCACTGAAATTCAGGAACTTTAAGGTGGTCTAGGTCCAGAGTACCCACTGCTGAAAAAAAATATTTACCGGTAAGTGCCTAACCTTAATTTCCAGACCCAATTCCTGATTAAAAGCAAAACTGCATGTCACTTTGAGCTGTCTTACCTCCTTTTCCATTGCAGTGGTGGCCATATTGAATAGTCTAGACAAAACTACATTTGGCAATTATTCTGACTTTGAGATCTTACCAAGTCAGCTTTTAGAATTCCTGGAGGAGGGGGGGTTAGTCAGAACAATAACAATATTAAATCCTGATTTTGTTATGAACTAAAAAAATAACTTTCCAACCAACTCACTTCAAAAGAACAATTCAGATCACAGCAAACAACATAATTTATTTCATTGAAAGGGATCGAATGTTAGTTTTTAGCTCACCTGAGCCGAAGGCTCAAGTGAGCTTTTCTGATCACATTTTGTCCGTCGTCCGTCCGTCTGTAAACTTTTCACATTTTCGACTTCTTCTCAAGAACCACTGGGCCAATTTTGACTAAACTTGGTACAAGGCATCCTTGGGTGAAGGGGAATTTAAATTGTTAAAATGAAGGGCCAAGTCCCCTCATAAGGGGAGATAATCAAGAAAAGACAAAAATAGGGTGGGGTCATTAAAAAATCTTCTTCTCAAGAACCACTGGGCCAGAAGAGCTGAAACTTATGTGGAAGCATACTGGGGTAGTGTAGATTTTAAATTGTTCAAATCATGACCCCTGGAGTAGGGCGGGGCCACAATTGGGGAATCAAAGTTTTAAATAGAAATATATAGGAAAAATCTTTGAAAATCTTCTTCTCAAGAACCACTGGGCCAGAAAAGCTGAAACTTATGTGGAAGCATACTGGGGTAGTGTAGATTTTAAATTGTTCTAACCATGACCCCCGGGGGTAGGGTGGGGCCACAATGGGGAATCAAAGTTTTACATAGAAATACATAGGAAAAATCTTTGAAAATCTTCTTCTCAAGAACCACTGGGCCAGAAAAGCTGAAACTTATGTGGAAGCATACTGGGATAGTGTAGATTCTAAATTATACAAATTATGACCCCTGGGGGTAGGGCGGGCCACAATGGGGAATCAAAGTTTTACATAGAAATATATAGGAAAAATCTTTGAAAATCTTCTTCTCAAGAACCACTGAGCCAGAAAAGCTGAAACTTGTGTGGAAGCATCCTGGGGTAGTGTAGATTTTAAATTGTTCAAATCATGACCCCCGGGGGTAGGGTGGGGCAGCAATGGGGAATCAAAGTTTTACATATAAATATATAGGAAAATCATTTGAAAATCTTCTTCTCAAGAACCACTGGGCCAGAAAAGCTGAAACTTAAGTGGAAGCATACTGGGATAGTGTAGATTCTAAATAATACAAATCATGACCCCCGGGGGTAGGGCGGGGCCACAATGGGGAATCAAAGTTTTACATAGAAATATATAGGAAAAAATCCTTGAAAATCTTCTTCTCAAGAACCACTGGGCCAGAAAATCTGAAACTTATGTGGAAGCATCCTGGGGTAGTGTAGATTTTAAATTGTTCAAATCATGACCCCCGGGGGTAGAGCGCGGCCACAATGGGAAATAAAAATTTTACATAGAAATTATATGAAAATCTTTGAAAATCTTCTTCTCAAGAACCACTGGGCCAGAAAAGCTGAAACTTATGTGCACATGGAAGCATCCTGTGGTAGTGTAGATTTCAAAATGTCTAAATTATGATCAGTGGGGTAGGGTGTGGTTGCAATATGTATTAAAAGGGGGAAATCTGGTAAAGAACAGAATGGTCAAAGCTTCTCAGGTGAGCGATGTGGCCCATGGGCCTCTTGTTGATACATGTTGGCCTTGTCTTCTTTGTCTTTGTACTTATTTAACACTGCTACTTGTAAGAATGTGTTTATAAATGCACAACCCAAATTAAAATTGATAAAATGGCCTGTAATTTTTCAGTTGATGAGTCAGCAAGGAGTGCAGTGTAGTAGCAGCATAGCAGATAACCAGGTGTTGTCCTTAATTGACCAGGTAACTTATTCCAGGTAGTGTAGTGTCCTTAACTGCTTTTTGCACTCAGACTGATATGGGGCAAGTCTGGCTGATATGATCAACATGTGATATGAATTTTAGTATCTAATATTATCTGATTTTTTATACCCCTTGCTAACAAAGTTTGGGGAGCATATCGTTTGACAAACTGTCTGCACAATCTTGTCCGTATTATAACTTTATTATGGAGAACCTTTGGAAGCTCATACATGGTACAGAGATTGTTTTTGACTTGTGTGACCTTGACCCAAAGTCATTCTTGTATGTCTAAGTCTCAGTTACAAAAAGTATAAATATTTTGTCTGTGTTATAATTGTGTAATGGAAAGTTCTTAAAAGCTCATACTTTGTACAAAGATTCTTAGGGTTTTTTTACAACCCTGAATCATGGTCATTCTGGCAAGTTCAGTGTCAATCACTAAAAAGTATAAATTCTTCTGTGGTTTACAACTTCTTGATGGAGAAACATTGAAAGTGCATAAATTGTTCAAACATTGTTTATGACCAAAGATTTATCTTGACCCAGTTTCATTTGAGAAAGTTCAAGGTTATTTTTAGATAAATGTTTAATTCCTGTCCTTGACAAATGTTGTAATAGAGAACCTAAGAAGCTCTTACTTATCTCAAATTTTGCGTTTTGATGTGAGGGTATGTTTTGATTATAACTGAAATTCATTCCAGGAAGTTAAGGTCACTGACAAAATGTTTTATGTGATTCTATGATTCTCAAATGGAGGCTAATGGGAAGTTGAAACTTCACACAAAGATTGCATGTGATTGAAGGATATATCATGATCTTCCTCAAGGTCATTTTGGCAAGTTCAAGGTCATAAGCAGTAGGAAAGACGAATTTAGTGCCCCATCTGTAAATTTTTAATGGATAAACATTTGTAGGTTTATACTTCACACAACTATTACTTGAGACTTAACACCAATTTTACTTATGCCTTGACCTTGTCTCATTGTCTTTCTGGCAAGGTCAAGGTCACTGTCAGAAAAAGTATAAATTTATTAAAAGTTGAAACTCAAAACGAAAATTACCTGTGAGCTAAGAGTATGTCATAACCATTGTTGCAAGTTCAAGTTCATGGGCAGAAAAAGTCAAGAATTCAGTCAGGTCTTTTATGTTTTAAAAAAAAATATTTGATGTTCATGTTTCACTTCAATATTTAACTTATGTGTCATTTTTTTGAGCTAGCTTTCTATTCTTCTAGTTGGAGTTAAGATTTTGAAGAATTCATGAGGGTCTGTAAAAATTAGGAAGATGTACTGTACACAGGGAAATTTTCGCCCCCGTTTTATTTTCGCCCCTTTCGCCCTCTCCTTGATTGGGCGAATTTAAAACGGGGCGAATTCAAATTACACAGCATAATTTCTTAAACAGAACTATGACTGGGTGAATTTAAAACGGGGCAAAATTATTCACAAGTTGAAAAGGGCGAAAATAACACGGGGCGAAAATAACCCTGTATACAGTAATCATATTGGTTAGATCTGTTTATGAAGTTTGCAATATTAAATAACACAAACCCAATAAAACTTCGTAAGAATAAATTAGATTCAACAATTATGGTATAACGATAGAAAATTCTCCTCTGTGGCTTTAGTATAGATTATTATTTTGAACTTGTTTCTAGATACAAGGGACTACTGTATAAATTTTGCATTACCAAGTGTTTGTAAATGGCAACTGCAAGCAATTACAATGGCATGTTTCTATTTTGACTTTCTTTCTTTTACTAGATTTTGGGATTGACAAAGAGATTGCAGCATCTTTACCTTGGGGTCAGCAGCACAGAATACTCTCTGATTCAACAGACAAGTCTCAAAGCCTGTACACTGCAGATCTTAACAAAGATGAAGGCCGACCCCACCAGGTGTAGTAAAGCGAAGGAAACCTATCTGGAGCAGCTGCAGGCTCTCAAAAAGTACGTACCAGGGTGTGTCAAAATCAATATGGCCAACAAGCTCTTAAAAAGTACGTATCAGGGTATGTCAAAACCAATATGGCCTACAAGCACTCAAAAAGTATGCACCAGGGTGTGTCACAATCAATATGGCCTACAAGCACTCAAAAAGTATGTACCAGGGTGTGTCAAAATCAAAATGGCCAACAAGCTCTCAAAAAGTAGGTACCAGGGTATGTCAAAACCAATATGGCCAACAAGCTCTCAAAAAGTACGTACCAGGGTGTGTCAAAATCAAAATGGCCAACAAGCACTCAAAAAGTACGTATCAGGGTATGTCAAAACCAATATGGCCAACAAGCTCTCAAAAAGTATGTACCAGGGTTTAATTTTCAAAATCAATATGGCCAACAAGCACTCAAAAAGTATGTACCAGGGTATGTCAAAATCAATATGTCCAACAAGCACTCAAAAAGTATGTATCAGGGTGTGTCAAAATCAATATGGGCTTCAAGCTCTCAAAAAGTAAGTACCAGGGTATGTCAAAACCAATATGGCCAACAAGCACTCAGAAAGTATGTACCAGGGTGTGTCAAAATCAATATGGCCTACAAGCTCTGAAAAAGTAAGTACCAGGGTATGTCAAAATCAATATGGCCTACATGCTCTCAAAATGTGAGTTTTCAACAACCAATAAGAACTACAAGCTCTCTCAAAAAATGAGTTTGCACGAGTGAGTATATGAAAATCCAAAAGTGCATGGTTACATATGCTTTCAAAAAGTGAGTATTCAAAATCTTCAAATGTATCAGCTTCAAGTACGAAAAATGACGCACTGATTGTCAATAAGTCTTAACTGAATTAATCTTTCTCATTCATTTCTGTACTAAAAATGGCTTCTATGTGTACCCACTCACAAATCTCAGTACATTCAGTACAATAAGTTAGTGTGCCAGACAAAGGCTAGTTAAAGAGTACGTTGTACTTTTAATTACACAACAACAGGTGATTACAGGATATGTGTGTAACTTGATCTCAAGCTTGTGACGGTGAAAGCTGCTCACTTATTGTATTAAAATTAAAAGTACAGGAGTATTTCTGTAACAAAATGTAATTCTTTAATTACATCCAGAGCATAAGCTTTATTTCACTTGCATTCACAAGCCAATAGAATGCTCTAATCCTAATGACAAAATTAAGGGGTATAAAAATATAAGGGTGGGTAACTCCTCAGATAGAGCATCCACTTTTGTTTAAAAAAAAATACAAATGAATTGAATGATTTAAAATTATACATTCTATCCATGCCTATTCACATAAAACTGTGTACATTAATACCAATTAATCCTGAAATTCAGTATATTTTCTGAGATATGGTGGAATTAATAATTATTCTATACCCCATTTTTGTCAGTCAATGAATTAAAGTGATCTATTAAAGGCCTGTTGTAGCAGTAAATTCTCTGTGTAGTTTGCATTATACTTAAGGAATGAAGCTTATTTCAACTTATGTTATCCAATATAACATAACTTGGGGCAGTTTATGCTTTATAAACTGCGAAGCGGTTTATAAATAAGCATAAACTGGCTCAAGTTTTGTTATATCGGATAACATAAGTTGAAATAAGCTTCATTTCTTATAATTTAATTTCAATGTAGACGCTGAGACACTATTTTCTCTAGAAAAAGGCTTCAGAGTGAGCATTATTTTAAAAGTAACGTCAAGCGGAGTGATACGTTTTTGACGTAACTCATTGTGACGGAGGCAAGTTATGTTACGCTATACAAAATTGATAAAACCGTTAAACCAATCAAATGATGCGTTACAACTGAAATTAAATTATTTAAGAGTGAAAAATGAAAGTTAAGAAAGTTAATATACATGTAAATTGTAATCAAAAATTTTTTCCAGATTTTTGGATTCCAATGAGCTATCACCAGATCCCTGCTTTGTGTATCTGTTCTCTGTACTTAATGACTTGGAGAATGGGAAGATATCAGACATTCTTAAACATCTACAACACGCTGTGAAGAACATAGCACCTTGTGGAATAGTCCTGCAGAACACCTGTATCAGGAAGGTGACGGCCATTATGCATGAACCGACAGGCTCCTCGGATAACCCAGTCCGGTTCACGGCCGGTTTAACCGTCACCATTCCGGTTCACGCTACGGTAGAAAATGTCCAAAACCCTGGAAGTATCAGATTAAAGGTTAGTTTGTCAAAAGTTTCTTGTTTTTAATCATTTTCAATCTGATGTAGATCTGTTGCTATTGTTTAATGATCAAATTAAATTTCAAATTTGTTGTAAAATACTTTTATATTGAAAAAGTAATACAGTAATATGTAAAAGTTAAAAAGTGATATGTTGGATATAAAGTCTGAAGGATTAGTTTACCACCCCAGGGGCAGTATTTTTGATATAATTTATTCTATAAAAATATAAATATTTTCAATAACAGATTCACTATCCTGACCAGAAGAGTTATCTCATCATTCCACAGAAGAATCATTTCACAAAGCTGAGTCCGCTCCATCATAAGTTAGTCTCTCAGGTCATCATCTCTCACTCTCTGTGGTCAGGTAAGGATGTCAGAGTTATCTTTCTTTGGGAGAACATTCGGTTTATCACAAACTATTGTCTGTAGAAAAAATATATTTCAAAAACTAAAGAAAAAAAAACACAGAGGTACATCACTGAGGAATATCTTTTTCAAATTACAAATTTTGCAACTATAAAAAATCTTTTTTGTAGCAAAAAATTGTTAACAATATGACGAAATATGCCCTTTTCATGAAGATTCATTTGTAAGAGTATATAAATTATTGTTAAAATTTGTGTTTTCAGATCAGTCCAATGTGGAAATCAGTATTGTCATGGAAACTAAAGATGGGGAGTCTGTGAGTTGTCAAGAACTCTGTCCACCTGTCCGAGTACCAGTAGCTCCCAAAGCAGCCAAACACTGACAGTTGGTTTGAATATTATAAATAAAATATATACATTAATTGTAAAATGCAATTTCTATTTCTTTTTTTTTTTTTACTTTTGCTAGTAAGGCTACCAACAGAATAGAGGAATTATGAAAACTTGCATTTGTTTTACAACGCTACAAATGTAACAATTGTATCAAAAATTGCAAAAATCGTCAATGAAAGGGTGAAAATAAGACAGCCTAGGGGCAAAATAACCCTGTGTACAATATTCTCACAGACACATTAATGAATTATGAAAGATATGTCTCCATTTTTCTTTTTATTCAATTCAGGAGGTAACCAAAAAATCAGAGATATTTCAGAAATAAATGTGTGAGATAGGAAATGTGAACCTTTTAAGAGATGGATGCAAATATTCTGAGCAATATTCAAAGTTCAAGGTCCTAACTCATCCATGTGTTTGCTAAGAGCATGTGTTTCTGTAATATAAAGTTGTGGACTGATAATAATTTTGCATAAAGTAATCTTGACCATATACTTGTTACAGAGTCACTAGATTATAAGATACCATATATTGTTAAAAGTCTCCATTTTCCCTTTAAGGTTAAGGGAATAATAAATGTTCTATTTTTGTTGTAGAAAAAAATTGCTACAACAACAATTCCCCTACGAACATACAAAGACATTTTTAATTGCTCCTCCATGAATATGGCTAAGACATATAGTGTTTGTTATGTCCTCCATCTTCCAGTCCTCTGTCCTTCCATCACACTATGCATTTAGCTAAGTTTCAAATGAGTTATTCAAGATATTTTTAGCAAACTTCATATACAAGGATATACATATTGATGAGAGCTATGCAAGTGCATCAACTTTACGTTTACCTTTTCATTGACTTTATAAAAAATTTGTGGTTATCTCAATTTCAAAGAAATCAAAATTATTTTAACATTTTTCAAATGCAAATTAAACTTCCAAGGTCAAAGTCAGTGCTGTAACCCAATGAAAGGACAAAGAATATCCCTGTGAAATATGAAACCCCAAGATCATTCAAAATTTATGACCTAGGTTAACGTTATTTTTAATATGGGTTAAATTCCAAAGTCTAAGTATCAAGTAAAGGTACATGTACCAGGGGTAGCTCTTCTCATAAGGAATACCAGGCACGTAGCATCGTTTTTGAAAGTGGGGGGGCTGGGGGGGGGGGGGTTAGTGGCTAACTTTTTTTTCAAGACCAACTTCCTTTCACTTACAATTTTTCCCATACAATACTACATATCCTTGATATCATTATACTATGGTAAGAAGTGTGGGGGGGGGGGGGCAACCAACCTTTCAATAGACATTTTCAATAGTAAAGGAAATGTTGGGGAACCCCCGTTGCCATGTCCCTGAATACACTTGTGAATTATTAAAGCCATAGCATCAACTATTAAAAAGTAATGACTTTCATAATTTTTTTTCAGAAGTAGGGGTTACTCCAAGGACAAAATTGTCGGTATCCAAAGGAAGGTCTTGTCGCAGTAAATATACTAGTCCGAAATTATCTGACGTTTTCCAGGCCTTTTTACGATTTTGATATTTTACCTGCATCAAAATCGTTAACAAACCAGGAAAACGTCTGATATTTCGGACTTTTGTTATGGGTCAGAATAACCCTAAATGCCAGCAAAGATCAATAACACAATTTAAACTTAACAATAATTTATTAACATTAATATATACAAATCATAAAGTACAAACTAAGCAAGAATCTAAAAATACGTACATCAGAGTGTCCGTTGCTGCACACAATGTCCAGTGAAATTATATCCCAGTCTCTTTATACACCTGTACATCAATGTTACTTATACGACAAATTATAGTATAGTATTTTTTAGGCATCGAATTGACAGGGTATTTATACAGTATCATAAATCTAGAATATTCTAGAAATTATTAAAACATGATATTACTGGAACAATCTGGACATACACAAAATTTAAGAATGTTCTAGATCAAATGACCGAACATGTTGACCACTCTGGAATGTTCAAGAAACTTAATGTTACTAATTATATACATAATGAAACATTACACATATCACAACACCTCCCCCCTTAAAAAGTTTGAATGTCAATGAAAACTTATATTATTAAAACATAGGTACATTAATACAAAATCTAGTATATTTACGATACTCTTGACAAGGCATCTGTAATAACATTGTCTTTGCCTTTGATATGCTTTATTGTTATATTGTATTCTTGTAACAACAAACTCCATCTAGTCAGTCTTTGATTCTTGTTTGACAATTTATGCAAAAATGTCAGGGGGTTGTGATCAGTATACACAAGAATTGGATGCAAAGTAACATTCAGATAAACATCAAAATGCTGTAAGGCTAACAACAAAGCAAGGCATTCCTTTTCAATAGTGGAATACTTTTGTTGACATTTTGTAAGTTTCTTTGAAAAATAAGAAACAACTCTATCTACCTTATCACTATGTTCTTGAAACAAAGCTGCCCCGATTCCAACATCACTAGCGTCAACGGTAAGCTTAAATTGCTTAGAAAAATCTGGAGTTGACAGAACTGGATTGCTCATAAGGACAGATTTGATTTTATGGAAGGATTTTTCACAGTCCTTTGTCCATTCAAAGTTAACCCTCTTTTGTAAAAGATTTGTAAGTGGACTAACAACTGAGGAAAAATTTGGACAAAATTTTCTGTAAAACCCGGCCATGCCCAAAAACCTCATTAATTCTTTCTTGTTTGTAGGAATTGGGAACTTTGCAATAGCTTCCACTTTAGCCATAATGGGTGTAACATAACCTTGACCTACTTTATGGCCTAAATACTCTACATAAGCATGACAAAATTCGCTCTTCTCAAGGTTCACAGTTAAGTTTGCTTTAGCTTAAATGTCAAATAAAGCACGCATGATTCGGAAATGTTCGTCCCATGTGTTGCTGTATATGACGACATCATCAATGTAGGCCTCGCATCCCTCAAGGTCTTGAAGAAGGGAGTGAATCATCCTTTGGAATGTAGCCGGTGCGTTTTTCATGCCAAAAGGCATTACTTTATACTGGTAAAGTCCATCTGGTGTAGCAAAAGCAGATATTTCTTTTGCTCTTTCTGTTAACGGTACTTGCCAGTAGCCTTTCAACAGGTCAAATTTACTGACAAATTTCGCGTTTCCAATGTTGTCAATACAGTCATCGATTCTAGGTATTGGATATGAATCAGTTTTGGTAACAGAATTCACCTCTAACTGCCGCACAAGCGTGTGGTTGAGTTTTATCAAAATCATTTTTTCTCTTAAGTTTAAAGCATTCACTGATCAGATGACCTTTTTTCTTACAATAACTACAAGTAGGAAGCGACCCTATTCCAGAAGATCCTTCAAAATGTCCTGGACCGGACTTAGAACCACCCTGTGATGGAGACTGGAGACTTGTGGAAGACTGAGACCCTGAACCACTCTTTTTATATGTTTCTGAATTGGTAGAATTACTGCTAGTCTAAGATCTTGATACAAAATTCTTTTTATGAGACAGAGCAGAAGTATCAGATATGACTGCTGCCTCTTCAAGAGTTTTCACATTCTTATCTTCTAAATGTGTTTTCAAATCTTGAGGAACACATTCCTTAAACTCTTCAACCAGGATGACTTGGCGCAAATTAGCAAAAGTTTTATCAAGTTTCTTAGATCTAAACCAGTGATCGAATAAATCTTCTTTCTCTCGTGAAAATTCAACAAATGTTTGATTATCAAACTTCCTATACTTTCTGAATTTTTGTCTATATGCTTCAGGTACTAATTCATATGCTTTTAATATTGCTGCTTTGACCTTCTCATAGTCTGAACTTTCAGCTACCCCTAGTGCAGAGTATACCTCAGCTGCTTTGCCAACCAGTACACTTTGTAACATTGTTGACCAAACATTTTGTGGCCATTTAAGATTCTCTGCGACTTTTTCGAATTGGGGAAAATATTTGTCTACAGATTTTTCTTGAAATTTTGGAACTAATCTGATATTTTTTGCTGCGTCAAATTCAGTTTTGACAACTGACGGTTCTGGTTGGTTTTGTAATTTTAATTTCTCTCATTCAAATTTCATTTCACGCTCTCTTTCTCGCTCTTCTCTTTCTGCTCCTAATTTGTCTAATTCAAATTTTCGTTCACGCTCTCGTTATTCTATTTCTCTTTCTCTTTCTCGCTCTTCTCTTTCTAATTTTTCTCTTTCAAATCGCATTTTCTCTAACTCTACTTGAAACTGATATTCTGCCATTTTATAAGAGCCTAACTCTGATTTAACTGTACATTCTGGAAGATCGTATTTTTCAAAGACGTTTTCTTCTACTAGTTTGTTTGCAACCTTAATTCTAATGTCTTGCTTTCTCTGAGAGGATTTAACATCTAACCCAAAATGCAAACCTAATGCGATCAAGTCATCCTTTTTTAACGTATCAAAAACCTGAACACTTGGTGAACTAAGAAAGTCTGTGAGCGAAAACACCATGTTGATTTCTGCTGGCTTATAATCAAATTTAACAGTTCAATAAACAAAATTCTGACAATAAACTGCAAAAGTGCAAGAAATTCTTTATCCCAGACGAGCCCCCAATTCTGTTATGGGTCAGAATAACCCTAAATGCCAGCAAAGATCAATAACACAATTTAAACTTAACAATAATTTATTAACATTAATATATACAAATTAAAAAGTACAAACTTAGCAAGAATCTAAAAATACACACATCAGAGTGTCCGTTGCTGCACACAATGTCCAGTGAAATTATATCCCAGTCTCTTTATACACCTGTACATCAATGTTACTTATACGACATTTTATAGTATAGTATTTTTTATGCATCGAATTGACAGGGTATTGGACTTTTACGAGAAGCACTGACTTCTACAGTTGACAGTTTACTTGGACATTTAAACTTGTATCATGTACGGAAGTACAGAATTGAAATGCATAAAAAACCTTTCTAGTGGTCATAGGAATATTGTTAGGGGCACTAACATGTGAAGACCTAGAGTTTAGGGTAGGATGGTTGTCCTTTTCTTCAAGGACAACTTAAATGTGCATTTAAAT